GCGCGCGCTTGAGCCAGATAGTGGACGTAGCATGCGCCACGTAGGCATAGTGTACAGGGGCGCGCGCCCGGCGCGCACGCAGACGCGTCGGAGCCAGGAAAAATCAACAACTCAAACGCAAATTCTTAAAAGCTTCCCCCCTGGCCCCTCCCCTGCCCCTGCCCCCCCCCCCCTACGCGCACTTTCCTGGCTCGGTTTTGGGGCCAAAGTTGTGGGAAGGGTCGTCCTTGGGAACTTGATTTGCTCTTAAAACTACACCACGCAGGCTGAAAGAGAACAAGGGAAACACGCAACGGTTGGAGTGCAGAATAAGCTGAGATTGTCAAAAAACAAGCGTTTGTTTGATGCACGGGTGAGCATCCCCAAATAGCAAGTGGCGCCCTGCGAAACACAGCTTGCAGCTCAAACTCCACTGATGGGTTTCTTGTTTGGGCACGTTGCCGCTTGTCAACTGGAATACGCACCTGTCCAGCTGCGCAGTCTCCGTTGTGTTTTCCACAAGGGCAACCTTGCTTGTGCTTGAAAATCCCAAAAAACTTTTTTGGGGGCACAATGCTTTGCAAGGGCTCATGGTCTAAAGACTCCCTTCCGAAACAAGTCGGTTAGCTCCAAGAAAGCTTTGCGCCGGATGAAACTGGTGTGTTCCAAAGTTAGAGCGTGCGTCTTTGACGCGATGAGTAGTAAGGAGCATAGGCCTATACCAACCAATTAATTTTGGATTTTTGGTCCCAAAACCCTGCAAAACAGCCAAACTCTCCATCCTGCTGAACGTTTTTTCCGATGTCACCGGCTTTGTCACCGCTCCGTTTTTGGTGCAAAAAGTGCTCAAAACGGCCAACTCCGAAAACTTCACTTTGATTGCCTGCATTTTTCATTTGACGATTCCACATTGCAGCGCTTAGCAATACTGTGCGCCGCTCAGTCTTTCTGCTCCTTTGGTTGTGGTGCACTCCCCCATGTTCCCTACGCCTACCCTCGTGTCTGCGCGGTTTACCTCAGTGCCAGCCCCGATGCGCCTGAGTGTTCCGTCGCAGCTTCAAATGCCTTGGTGAAACACCAAGTGGGGCGCGCTATGCCCGTGTGGCTAGCTTGCGTACACCCCAGTTGGCTGCTCCAAATAGGTTGCATTAAGTAAGGTAAATATTGACTCTGCGTTGGTGTTGCTACCTCCATCCATTGGCTGTAGAAGTGTCACCTTTGGGTCTGTGGTCGTTGAGCCTTGTAGTATTGAGCCCCGCTTGATCTCTTGGTTCTCGATACACTGCGCCAATCGCAACTGTCCTATACCTCTTCTATGTGCGGCCGAGATGGCCAAGCAGGAAGGGCATAGGCAAACTCCCTATTGCATTGTAGACCCGGATCTTCACTTCTTTGGCCTCTTGCCATGGAGGTGTGTGCAGTGTTGAGCACTCTGCGCTGCCCCGTGACACAAGCTTTCGTACTTGGAAAAGCGAGGCCGGCTCCGCGGCTTCGGTCTGAAAGCGAGGCCGGCTCCGCGGCTTCGGTCTAAAAGCAAGGCCGGCTCCGCGGCTTCAGTCTGAAAGCGAGGCCGGCTCCGCGGCTTCGGTCTAAAAGCGAGGCCGGCTCCGCGGCTTCGGTCTGAAAGCAAGGCCGGCTCCGCAGCTTCGGTCCCAAAGCGAGGCCGGAGTTCCATCCACCAAGGTCGGAACAGCAGAGTTAAAACCCTGGCGCGGGCCTGGTGCGGGGCGCGGGCCTGGCGCGGGCCTGGTGCGGGCCTGGCGCGGGCCACTGCCGCAGCGCCGAAGGTCTGTCAGCAATGCGCTTCTCGCTACAGCACTGGCAGAGTCGCCTTTCAGTCAATCCTGCGCCGAGCACAGGATTGCTCCACTCAATCCTGCAGGATTGCTCCACTCAATCCTGCGTCGGGCGCAGGATTGCTCGGCTCATAATGGAGTCGGCCTCCCAGGCCTCAGGCACGTCGTTGATGCTCAGGACGCTCGCGAAGAGCGCGTCTCGGAGCTCCGAGTGGAAGGCCAGGTCGTGCCCCCGCCTCTTCGTGCCATAGTAGTTCATGGTGCGACCGGGGAAGATGTAGGGAGGGTCGGCATAGGCACTGCCGGGGCGCCAGGCAGGGCAGAGCGCGTAGATAGGCCAGCGCATCCTGGTGCCGCACGGTCACATTTGTCGGTGGCCGTTGCAGACGCCGCACGCTGCTCAGTGCCAGTGGCCGCTGCTGTGTGAAGGAGCCCCACTTTCCCGAGAAGCTGTTGCGCCGCAGGGTGTATGAGCGGCCTCTCTGAGCGCCCGGCAGGAGGTGCCTGAAGTGGAGAGATGCGGTATTTACAGCATCACTCCCATAGTTTTGTGGGATAAAACTCACAGGCTGGCATGCGACTGAAACACATGGGAAGCAAGGCGTGGCTGGCTCCACACCTGGACCGGCTGCTGGGCGACGTCACTGTACTGCGTTCTCCCTTCTTCGGTTCCGGAAAGCTGGAGTACTACCTTGCCGCCCGGCGCCCGGGCCTGGAGGTGCGCGGCGTCGACACCTTCGAGCCCGTCGCAAACCTGCACCGCTGTTACTTGAGGCAAGACCCGGTGGGGCGCAAGGTGGACAGGCGCTTCTTCTCACCGCCCGGCTTCCCGGCTTCGAATTTGGGAAGTAAGGCAAAAGGAGGAATGGGGAAGATCAAGCTGTTTCCTACGACTGAGTATAGCAGTAAGCAGCCCTCGGACCCCGTGGTGCCCCTGGTGCCATGCACGGGCATCTTCCTCGGGCCTTCCACATCAGGCAAGACTGTGGCGCTGATCAGCATGATTCTGGAGCAGTATCGCGGCGTCTTTGAGAAAATATACATCTTCAGCCCCAGCGTAAACATCGACGACGCTGGATCCCCGTCAACAAGTACATCGAGCAGGACCTTGGGGTGAACACGGAGAAAGAGCAGGCCTACTGGGACGAGTGGGACGAGGCGGCGCTGCGGAGCATCATCCAGAGACAGCGTAAGATCACCGAGACGTCCAAGAAGTTGGAAATGAAGAAACTCTACCAGATGCTTGTAGTCATCGACGACTTTGCCGACACGCCGCAGCTGCACAAGGCCCACGGCGCCCTTGACACGCTCTTCATTCGAGGCCGGCACACGCAAATCAGCACCTGGGTGCTGAGGCTCATCAGCGCAGCCGTGCGAGTCAATCAGCAGTTCCTCTGCTGCTGGAGGCTGCGCAACCAGCACGAGCTGGACGCCGTCATCGAAGAGCTGAGCGCCCTGCTGTCAAAGGACAAGCTGCACAGGATCTACGAGCAGGCGACCAGGGAGCCCTTTAGCTTCCTCTTTGCGTACTACCTGGAGAACAACATTCTGTCAAAGATAAGGCTGAAGAGCGGTGTGGGCACTTATAAAACCGGCTCCAATGACGGAGCTTCATGGCTGTAAGGGGCCCATCACCCTAAGACACACGCGCTTTCGACTGACCAATCTGGAAGAACAAGTCTTCGACTGAGGGCTTGTCTTGTCGTTCGGCTGTTTTTGGATTCCGAAGATCTTTTAAAAAAATATATCCTATTAAAAAACCCAAAAAAATCCAGACCTACCCACTTCCCCGGCATACTACTACGGTTTCTTACACATACCCAAGAGGGCCCCCAGACCCCAGTACATAAAACACCTCTCCAACCCAAGATCTCCAAGACAGATGGCTAAGGCAGCATCCAACCCAAGGCAGCACCCAAGGCAGCACCCATGCCCTGGACCTGCTTGCATCTCCCTCAGTTCTGGATGTCGACCTCCGCCAGAAACCTGCCGGCAAGTCCGTCAGCTATCAGCCGCTCCGCACGGGCGCTTCCAAGTAAGTTCATCATGCAGGCGGCTTACCTTCTCCGCATCGGCATCAACAGCGGCCTTCAGCAGAGGCCTCAGAATGTGGGTAGCCATTCTACATGTTTTTATTGCTTGAGCCAAACCCTGAAGCGCGCGCGTGTACACACATCACACACGCGCGCGCACCATAGACCATAAAGCGTGGCAGACATGGGCGAAGCCCTTTAAGCCATACAAAAGACACAGCACGTGGTGACACTCTTTTCTTTTCTGCGTCGATGGGGAGTCAGATCATAAAAGAGGAAAGACCACATGCCGTCACATCATGTTCAGGGCACATCGCCCAAAGATGGCTCATAGCCATCAGCATCTTTGGCACGCTTTCTCTTCCCTCAGGGTGGGTAGGTGGGCAAAACCGCATTGGGCTTTCCAAAAAGGGGGGGAACCCACCCACCTCAGCCCTACAGCACACATGCAAACGTTCAGACATGTCCGTTGGACATTTGCACAAAACACGTAACACAAAACACATGTCATGTTACAAAAAGGGGGTTCGGCTTTTGCAATAAGGACTCATCCACCTTTGGTAGAATTCCGTCTTATTGCTTGAGCCAAACCCTGAAGCGCGCGCGTGTACACACATCACACACGCGCGCGCACCATAGACCATAAAGCGTGGCAGACATTGGCGAAGCCCTTTAAGCCATACAAAAGACACAGCACGTGGTGACACTCTTTTCTTTTCTGCGTCGATGGGGAGTCAGATCATAAAAGAGGAAAGACCACATGCCGTCACATCATGTTCAGGGCACATCGCCCAAAGATGGCTCATAGCCATCAGCATCTTTGGCATGCTTTCTCTTCCCCCTTCGTATCTCATGCATGCCAAACTTCTCCCGCAACGACCGCAGGTTCAACTCATCATTTATTCCAAGTGAGACATCTTGGTCGGTGCCCCTTGAGGGCTCATCTGCCAGGTTTGACGCAGTATTAACTCGCTCAAACCAAAAGTTGCATCCATAGCGTTCCTCCAACTCGCACAAGTTTTGCACGAGGTGGTTTCCAACTGCATTCTCGCTTCTGCATTTGATGCAGGTGCCGACAGCACCCTCATTGTCGGAAAAAATCAAAACACTCATGCCAGAAACATGATCAGCCCAGAGATCCACAGCTGAAACAATTGCAAGCATTTCCAGTTCATAAATAGGCTTCTCGCTCTCAGTCAGATTCCAGAGCGCCACATCTGTGATCCATCATCTTGCTAAAAAATCTCCTCTTGTTGGATTCAGGGAACACCAGGATGCCCCCCAGGCCAGCTGGCATCTCACGGCTCTCTTCATGACAGGCATCCACATACAAATGCACCGCTTTGGACATGTGATGTGTAATTTCCCTGGGCCGGCCATGCACAACTTTGTCACGAAGCATTTCCAGAGCCCAAACCAGGTCCCCTGATATGCGTCCGCCTTGAACCACATGTATGTGGTGGTTCAATATTCCCATGGCAACAGTGGCCCGTCGCCCGAAGACCTGGCTTTCCGCAAACAATAAGCGTCCCCGTAGCCTCTGGCCCTCGTGCACGCCGAGGTTCTTTTTCTTCAGAACCTCGCTAATTGTCTCATCCAGTTCATGTCGCCTGGACTCAGTATTTCCCAGTTTGGCCAGCCCCGAGGACAACCCGCTCAAATCAACTTGCAGGCCCAGCACCTTCGCATCTAGCCCAAACTCCACGGCCTTGTCCAAATTGGTTGCCCAGCCTGTCAGCCTGAAAAACATCTCCAGTATCGCAGAGGTGTGCTCTGTCGCGGCGCCCCTGCTCAAGAAAACAAAGTCGTCAAAACACACACTAGCATGCGTTCAGTCACCTCCTGGCAAACATGGCGCCCAGGACCGGGGCACCGTGCAGCGTGACTGTCTCATCGGCTGAGCTTGTCAGGGACTCGGTGAAGTTGTCTATTGGCCGCACCTTTCCACCTCCTTGTTTGACGCCAAAACGCCTAGTCAGTGAAGCTGTCTCTGGCAGATCCTCGAAATCATGGGGCCCGCTGAGCCAGCCCTTGGCCAGTTCATTTTCCGTGACAGTGTAAACGGCCTCGTCGCCGGGTCACCACAGCTCACAGTGCTGTTGTAGATGCCCCTCCTCGTTAGGGGCGCCAGCCTTTTCAGTTCGCTCACCGCCATTGTGGCGTATCTTCTCTTCTTCTGGAAAAAGTTGGACTTCGGCACCGATCCCAGCAACTTGAAACCTTCTGCCATTTCCCGTGCAATGTTCACATCTTCATGACCGACGTCTCCCAGCAGCCTCTCAAAAAGGCACAATCTCTTTGATTTCAGGATGTTGCGGCGGGGGGCAGACATTTCATTCTTCAGTTTGTCTTCTGCCTCCACACATTCTAGTGCCCAACCAAGCCACTTCCGCATAGTGGCGGTGCGCTCCATGCTGAGGGATTTTCCACATAAACTGGCGTTCTTGTTGATCACCTGGTCCAATTCTGGTGGCAAACCTGAGGTCAGCAGCTTAGGGTGAAGGCACTTGCGCGCCTTCTCGATGAACTCCTCAGGAGACCAGGGCACCCCCACAATGCACTTCATCCCCCCTTGGCAAATGCAGCGTGCGGAGCACACGACAACCCGCAGGCAGTGTATCGATGCCATCTGGCTTCACTGCTCGCGCAGGTATCTTCCATGTGGTGTTAATGCGAGGGGGAGGAGCATCATCGCGCGGCACAGTGATTTCCAAAACTTCTTTGAATTCCGCGACCAGCGGGGGGATTTTCTTGCCTCGTGGTTGGCTGCTGGTGGCGATGTTGGCCAATTGGTTATGCTGAAAAGACACGAAATCTTCCAGGTCACGCGGCATGCTGGATACCCCAAACTGCTCAAGCTGTTTTGCAAACCAAAAGGCCATGTGAGAGCACAACTGCCAAGGATAAGCAGTCTCCTCTGCAGTGGACCAGCCTTGTGGTGTGCGTCCCCAACTGCTATGTTCATGTGAATTGTCGCAAAAATTCTCCAAATTCTGTAGCAAAGGCATTGTGTGCTTCAAGCGCGTCCTCTTGTCGCGCAGCCCATTGTACATGCAGTGGTCAAAACAGACATCAAAATATGGGACATGTCTTGCAGCATCCATCCAGTGCGAAGTGTCCCACATGAACGACCGCCAAGGATTTTCAACACTGGTGAAAATGCCCGTCTCATAAGCTTTCTTTGAAAGTTCAGATGTTAGGCTGTAAAGCGCATTCGCCTGTGAAACTCTGCTTTGCAACGTTGCACTGAGGTTTGGCAGGCCATCCGGCCATTCCTCAGAGCGAGCCGGGGGAGGATCATGAGGTCCGCGACGGATATTCCTGGCCGCGGCCATTTTGTGAATTCAGGTCTAGCTTGATGGCAGGGGCCTGCAACCGCTTTGACAGGACGTGGTCAATGCCTATGGCTTCCACTACTCCCAGCTTCCGCACACTCGCAGTCAAGCGCCCAGAACCGCAAAAAACTTCCATGAAGCAAATCTCATGCAAATGCTTGCCTGCAGCCCTGTGCTTGGCTCGCTGCAAGAAAGCATCGAATTCGTCACCTGGCGTGAGTCAGCTGCTGCTCTTCCCGTGATCCTGCATGCTGTGGCCCAAGCCACATCCAGGTTCTGCACAAACATGCAGCCCCCTGGCGCAGGACTGTCCGGCTTTGAGGCCGCTTGGACATCCTCCAGGTAGATTGAAATTGTAACAGACCGGCTTGCCCTGCTTCGTCACCGTGTTTTTGCCGATGAGCTCTTGCGACACTCTGCTCCCCTTGGACTTGGACTTGCGCTTGCCCTTTCCCTTGGACTTCCCAGAATGTTGTTGCTGCCAGTCATCTGTGCGCTTCCTCTTCAAGCCACTCCCATGATCATCACCTGTCACCACAGGCCTCGCAGGCGAAGGCAGCTAAAGGCAGCAAAGAAAAGGCCACCTTCGCATCTGTCAACAGTCGTCTGAACGCCTCGTCCATGGGCAAGGACCCATCCGGCTTGCGTCGGAGTCCCTCAGTCAGCGATTCACTCATGCGGTTGAATGCTTCTTGATCAGCGCGGAGTACCTGTTGCACATCCACGCGCTTGTAGCCACCAGGGACCGTCGCTTGTAACTGCCTGATCAAATAGTCATTGTACTCTTGAACAGTCGCGTAAGTTGCAGCGTTGGTCAAGTCCAATGCTAAGGCTCGCCGCTGTAACGCCTGTGTGAGCAATAGTTCGCTCCCAGTGTCACACATCACTTCGGTTTTCTGGTCCCTGAGTTGCAGGCGTGACGACGAGTCCAGCGTTACTTCTTTCACCACCTTTTCGTTGCTGAGCTCGCTACGTCGACTCGGGAACTTTGACGGTGGCAACTGAACCACAACGTTCTTCTCAAGCATGTCCAGAATCAAATCATAACTGCTGTGCGCGCACTCGTTCTCACCCGACATTGAAATTCCCGACAGACGCGCCTTCTGCCTGGCAATCCGGGCGACCCGCTCCGCTGCAGGCATCTGCTTCCCTGCGCTGGTCTCAGCACCACCTTCCACCATCTGCTTCACATCTGCCACAGCCAAGGTCTGAGCCATGAAGACCAAACGCCAAAAACGCCTTGCTCCTGCGATCACTCCCAGCGGTGGTGCTGCGGCGCCATCTCTGACTAAGTCAGCCAACTGATCAGTGGTGGGCGTTTCTCCCGGTTGGCACATTGCAAAAGGTAATTGCCCCAGTGTTGCGATTTTTGGGCCTTAATGCGGGCCACGCTCTCATCAGCGAGCCCGGCCTCTCGGGCCTTCTCGTCGAAAACTGCAGGGCTATGGAGCAACGAGGCCATGGCACCAAGAGCTACCAAAATGCACACCAAACAAATCAACTTCAACACGGTCACACACGCGTTGTCATGCTGTCACATCTGTGTGGCTCCATGGCCCGCATCACACCGTCTTGCTCCACATGGATCAGGCGTGCTGACCTCATGCCAAGGACGTGGGATTTCCGCGAACCCCAAGCGTGTGATCTTCGCCCTGTTTATGCCCCATCGGACACACGCTTCATGGCTCTTCTGGCCATGAAACTGGCAACAGCGCCAACATCCCTCAAAGGCTTGTTGGCATCACATTGTTTGCATTTCCATCCGTCACTGTAGATGGAGCCAGTGAAGGCTTCTGTATCATCATTCTTTTTCCTACCGCACAGGAAGGTCAGCTTTTCGCTCCCTTCCGGAAGAAGGTGCATCACCTTCGTCCTTTTGTTCATGAAAACATCACAGCCTTCCTTCCACACAATGCCCAACTTACAAGCATCGCGTGTCTCTGGCTGCACACGCTCATCAATGAAATTGTCAAGCACAGATTCACACTCACTTGAGGCGCTGGCTGATGAGTCGCTTGAGGACCCGCTAGATCCACTGCCACCAGCATCTACTTCTTCTCCGACATCACATATCTCCTCCATGTCAGGCATACCACGAATCGCCTGGACGTCCACTGCAACTGCTCCACTCACAGGTGGCTCTTCGCTAAACATCCCACTCCTGCTAGCATCAGGAATGAAGGTTCCCCTCCTGACCGAAGCAATGACGCCTTCCAGCCTTCTCGTTGGGGCAGTCTGCAGATCCCTGCTGTAAACCGTCATACTCTTCTTGCCAGACATCGCATGATGACCAAGTATGTGTCTGTCCTCTTCACTCATGCCTGCTTTGCTAGCCCAGCTCAACAACGTGGCTTTCAAACCATGTGAAGTCAAACCAGGTCTAACATCAATGCCTCGCTTCTTGAGGATCCCACGCATCCACTTCGTCACATCCGAGGGCCCGGCCGCCTTGTCTGTCAACGTCCCCGTCACGTCCGGCAAAGCCAGCACGGGGCCCCTATGTTTTGTCTCAAGGTCGACGCCCAGGTTCTTTGCCACTGACAAGTATGCCATGCACCAGCTTGCATCACACAACCCATAAATGGGGGCCAGCAGGATCAAAGGTATACCCAAAGACATTGTTACTCTTCGTCCCTTATGGTCATGAGTGTGCATCTCCAAATACCCATGACGGACATCACCACCCGGCCTATCAAGAATGCTGCGCTCGATGTTCCGGATGTCAGAGACGCGGCCCCGGCTGTATAACAGGAAAAGCATGGCACCGGCCCCAAACCTGTCAACACAATGTTGCTTCTCATCCATGACAAACCGTTCCAATGCAAAAATCTCAGCTACAGTCAATGGTCTGCTCTGCTTCAGTGTGTTCTTGTGCATGTGGCTGTCCCGCAAGATACCAGAGATCCAAGGTTGCTCAAGGTCGCCAGCAAAGAACAGACCAAGCACATGTTTCGCGAAGGTGAGCGTCTGCATCAATTCGCGAATGCCAGAAAACTTCTGTTCACGGTGCAGTTTCTGCAAATACCCATGCACCGTGGGCGCAACTGGGAAGCAAACAACATCTTCACCTGTTGATGTATCTTCGCAAAATTGCATGTGCTTGAGCAAACAGTTGCATCTTTTGGAAAGTGTACTGCAACTCTTCCCTCCAAAAACATCGTTCAGCAACTGTACCTGTTCAGCGTCACCGTCACATTCAACCAACAATTCCCCTGTTGCGCTGCCCTCCGGGTTTGTAAGCAAAAGCCCACGCCACTTCCTGAGGATCTTGTCCTTCTGAGGCTCAACGACTCCTTCGACAAGTCGCTTACGTCTACCGACCAGGCCAACATATAATGCCTCGTCCGCCTCGACATCGACAGGGTTGCCAACGTTGCTCCCTGGCTCGTTAGCATTTCGATCTGAACATTGTCGCCGCCCAATACCCTTGGAGGTGGTCCAAAGATCTCCTTCATGATCCCACGCTCCCAGGGCAAGGTGGGCCTCGCAACTTTCCCTATGAGCCAGCCGCGCGGCGAAAAATGCATCGCTCCCAACACCTGTGGATAAATCCTGTCTGAATAAAATGGGCCTTGCACTAAAACCAGTAGGCCGGGCATCGCCAGAGTCATCCGCATCCGTTGCAGTCTCCAGCTCATCACCTTCTGCACCTCCAGGACATTTTGGCTCTTCATCATGTACTGTCTCTGCTCCGCCTGCTTGACTCTCTTTTTCAATCCTGTCAATATTCTCTGGCAGCGGAGGAGCGGCTGCCAAACACTCAGACAAATTGTCAGAACCATCTTCAGCCATTGCGGAGCCTATTACGCGTCCCCCTAGTTGCAAAACCGCATTGGTCCAAAAAGGGGGGGAACCCACCCACCTCAGCCCTACAGCACACATGCAAACGTTCAGACATGTCCGTTGGACATTTGCACAAAACACGTAACACAAAACACATGTCATGTTACAAAAAGGGGGTTCGGCTTTTGCAATAAGGACTCATCCACCTTTGGTAGAATTCCGTCTTACTAAGAAAAAACTGGCTGCGGCATTGGAAGAAACTACAGCGGGAGTAGTAAGGAACACCAGCCTAAACTCCCAAGAGAATACACTAGCAAACAGCCCTCGGACCCCGCGGTGCCCCAGGTTATGCGCAGGCATCTTCCTCGGCCCCAGCAAGTCCGGCAAGACCGTGGCGCTGATCAGCATGATTCTGGAGCAACACCGCGGAGTGTTTGAGAAAATCTACATCTTCAGCCCCAGCGTAAACATCGACGACAGCTGGATCCCCGTCAAGAAGTACATCGAGGAGGACCTGGGGGTGAATACCGAACGGGAGCAGGCTTACTACGACGAGTGGGACGAGGCAGCGCTGCGGGGCATCATCCAGAGGCAGCGCAAGATCACCGAGACATCCAAGAAGTTGGAGATGAAGAAGCTGTATCAGGTGCTGATTATCCTGGACGACTACGCAGAGCCCGCAGCTTGACAAGGCCCACGGCGCCCTGGATACACTCTTTATCAGAGGCCGACACATGCAAATCAGCACCTGGGTGAGCTCCCAGAAGCTGAGGCTCATCAGCGCAGCCGTGCGGGTGAACATGCAATTTCTCTGCTGCTGCACGAGCTGGACGCCGTCATCGAAGAGCTGAGCGCCCTGCTGCCGAAGGACAAGCTGCACAGGATCTACGAGCAGGCGACCAGGGAGTCTTCGTCTACTACCTTAAACCGAAGAAGCAAATGTTCAACACGCGCTTCGAAGAGCGTTTCGCACTGGAAAGAAAAGCCGATGGGAGCGGCGCTCAGCTTCCTGGGCCAGAAGCTGTTCGCCAGCTCCACTCTGATCAACGCGAGGTGTGAGAACATCTCTTGCTGTACTTCCGTTGCAGCCGTCCACCCGGCTGTCGTCCGCAGAACGGGCGGCTTCCTTAGAAACAGGATGACGACTATCTACGTGGACAGCCGTAAGAGGGTAGCCGGCTCGGACAGTGACTTCGAGGTCGACCTGGGAGAGTCGCTGCACCTGCAGAGCGACGCCCGGCTGGCCGTCTACAAGATCAGAATTGCCGACAGTTTCCTCTCGACGGGCTACCTCTACTGGGTCGACGCCGCGCTTGGGACTCTGAACTGGGCGTTACTGCCCGAAGGTGCGTACACGGGCCCCAGGCTGGCCGCTTGGATCAGCTCCAACTTTGCCACAGCCACCTACAGCGAGACCACGAACAGCCTGAGCGTAGCCTACGACGGCAACCGGCTCATTCTGAACGATCTGGAGCTGCAGCAGCAGTTCCCAGACGCTGTGGACTACCCCACCTTGCCGGCCGCCTCTCCGAGCAAGCCCTTCAGCATCGACCCGAAGAAGCGCCTCGGCCAAGCGAGCGCGCCATGCGCATGCTGGAGAGGCAGTCGGCTTACGACCGGCTGACGGCGGGCGCGAGCGTCCTAGTGTAAAAGCATGATGTCCATAGAGCCCCGCAACGAGCCGCAGATGCTCCGGTGGTTTCGCAAGACGTATCCCAGTTACGACCTGCAGCCGCTGCTGCTGAAGCGCCAGCGAGAACTGGAGGAGGCGCGGGCCTTCAACTCCTGGCTAAGCAAGCGCAGGCTAGCCCAGGACGGGCAGCGGCACCTGGACGACGTGAGCCGGCTGACGGAGGCAGTGCACCGCCAGGTCTGCGCTACGCGCGCGCCGAGCGCCGGGGCGTCTCGAACGCGCAGCGGGCGAAGTTGCCGCGCAGTAACGGATAAAAGAGATGAAGGGCCTTCGGCCCCACGGCTTCAGCCAGCGCCCGCGCTTCGAGCAGGTTGTGGGCTACCTGGAGCGGAATGAGCCGCGCCCCTGGACCAGCCGGACCGCAAGGCCACCACGTTCATCACGAGCCACTTCTACTTGGACGACTTCGTGCAGTCTGCAGCACACGCCTTTGAGGGCAATTCCTGAGGAAGGCTTCCGCACTCCCGCAGAGGCCACAGACGAGGACTTGCGCCAAGGCCAAGGAAACCGCTTCGGCGAGGACGACCTTGCAGGAGACCCAGAGGCCGACGCGCTGACAAACAACGGTCAGGCCAGGGCCGCAGCCGCGGCCGCCTCCGCAGATCATCGGTCGACCCGACGCTCTATGTCCCTCCTGGACGAGGCGGGGCAGCGCGCGCAGGAGGTGGAGCGTGGCGCAGCGCAGGCCATAGAGGAGACGGCATGCGGAGGAGGGAGAGGTTGCCGTTGCCGCCGAGGGCGTAGGCGGGGCCTTTGGGTACCTTGGAGGCCTGGCAGAAGGAGCAGCAGCCCTCGCACCCACAGCGGGCGAGGTTGCTGGAACGCTGGCTGCCACGGCAGGAGTCGGCGCAGCAGCAACGG